AAAATAAAACTCAGAAAAGCTAAGTGATTAACCAAAGTCCTACAGACTGTGAGTAGAACTTCAACTTGAACCCAGGTCGTCTGGCTACGATGAACGTAGCATGGCTCGCCCTGTGCCATGCTGCAACCCCTGAACTTTCTGACTATACCAAAGGCAAACAAAAATTATTCCGCAGGCATTTTTGCAGACATCAGATACAGGACATGACAGCAAGCATCCAGATGTGAATTTGGTAAGCAGGAGGGAAGACAAGTTGGAGAGGAAGGTGTTTAAAATAATCCTAACTTTTCAAAACCTTATTTAGAAAGATACTAATTAATTATCTCGTGTGAGAAAGGAGCCAAACGTTTCAAATGGCCAAGTGTTCCAGTGCCAAGTCATACAGAGATGAGTAACCCTTCTCACTGCAGAGGAACATGATTATGACTAAAGCACAGGAGACACAGCAATCACTGCTCTGGGTTATATGACGGGGCCTGATCACCAAAGGCAGAGTCATGGTCACTCGTCTTGACAATGGCTGTCAGGCCCCAGTTTTTAACACCCTAACTGACATGGACATCTGAAAGACCGCATTTTGGAGCTGTCTCTCTGCATCTTTTTGATATGACCAGAGTCACAACTTCACAGTAAGAAAGAAACTGCACTCAGGTGAACTCTGTTGAAATCATGCTAATGATCTAAATCACAACCTTCAAAGGGACACATTTACAGTAAAAAAAAAAGAGAATGGGAGGCTCAAAGGGACACTTCCTGCTCTGCCAAATGAGCTGCCCAGCGGAGGCCAACAGAACTGGAGTGAAGGCAATCGCATTGCTTTCCCTACTCCCCAGCAGTGAGCACTTGAGGCTGATGGCCGGAGCCCCAGAAGGCCAGGCGGGGGCCCCCTCGGGAAGCCCTGCCATCCCTGGCAAACTTTTCCAGTCCTACTTTCATAGCTACCCAGCTCCCCAGGTGAGTGGGTGCTCAGCTAACCCAACCATTTGGAATGCAAAAACCAACAGCAGTGCCTGAACTGACAGCCAAGAAAAACCCAAGAATAAAAGGATACAGATGTAAGTTACTACTCATTGGGATTTGCCATCCAAGGGGAAAAAAGCCACAGAATTTTCTAATATTTATATTTTCCACATGAAAGTGTGGAGCCAATACCAGGAATTCCTCAGAGAATCTCTATCATATAGCTCAGCATTTCCTAGGAATGTTTCCAGGGCCTGCCTTCTCTATGATTATACTATCATTACAAAAATCCAACCTATAACCTACAAAGCATAAAGACTTTTGCCAATTAGAGACATGCCTAACCTAGCACTTTTATCCCCAAATCTACACACCCCTGTCAGATCTGTGTAGCCTCTAAAAAGGTATAGTTGCCTACAGGTGATTATTCTGCTGTAGAATGAATAAAAAAACTATTAAATCAGCGATCTCATTTGACATACATTTTGAAAGAATTTTTTTCATGTGCCAAAGCCCAAGGCAACTTTAACATTTGATAGACCAAAAATTTCACGCTGCTTTCTATGCCTATTAAGGAGATGTAGAATGTAAGAATGTGGAGCTTACAGAGATGATGCCTCTAATTCACAACACCAAACATCTGTTTTCTTCACTCTATGTGAAGAAGAAAGGCATCCGCAGGCAGAGACCCACAGCTAAATCTTTATCTCTAGGATTCTGTATAGAAAGAAAAATGACACTTTGACAGAAAATAGATTGAGAGGCATAATGAATTGATGCTGAATATGTACTCTGTTCTGATGAGTTATCCCAAGAGTAGTAATTCCAATTTCCAAGGGAATAAATATTCAATATTAACTAGAAAAAGAATCCAGGCAAATGTGTAAAGATATAGTATATGATGTGGCTTAGCTAGCTTTCAGGAAGATCATTATTTTAACATTTTCTTTATCCTTAAATGAAATAAAGGAAAGTAATTTAAAGTTTAAATGGTTTTTAAAAAATTGATAAAGGGCATGTACAGAAAACTAATTTTTAAAAATTACTTGGGCATGCCCAATTTAGGAATTATGGTGGATTAGATATTCGCAAAGCCCTTCTATTATATTATAATTAGATTCAGGATAAATTATTTTTAATAACACTTTTTAATGCATTGGTTAGCTCCAGGTAGAGCAGGTAGAGAAAAAAACCCATGAGAATATGGCAGGAACAGTGCACTGAAACCTAAGCAAAGAGTGCTAAGGAGTGAGCAAAGAAGAAAGCCAAAGCTGCCCTGAAGGCAACTATGAATACCAGCAATGAGATGGGGCTTCTAAATCTCTAGCTTTCAGCAAGGTCGGGAAAGTCCAACCTGACATCAGGTTTCCAAAATGAACAAAAGTGGTCCTGGGTCTGTAGCATCCTCCTGGTTGCTATTACAAACACACACACATCTCAAGAAATAAATACCTAGCACTCTGGGAGGCTGAGGCGGGCGGATTGTTTGAGCTCAGTTCAAGACCAGCCTGAGCAAGAGCGAGACCCCATCTCTACTAAAAATAGAAAGAAATTCATCGGACAACTAAAATTATATAGAAAAAATTAGCCGGGCATGGTGGCGCATGCCTGTAGTCCCAGCTACTTGGGAGACTGAGGCAGAAGGATTGCTTGAGCCCAGGAGTTTGAGGTTGCTGTGAGCTAGGCTGATGCCATGGTACTCTAGCCCGGGCAACACAGTGAAACTCTGTCTCAAAAAAAAAAAGAAATAAATACCTGAAGATTCTAAGACATAATTATCAAGAAAATATTAGCATATAATCAAAACTCACCGTGCACACTAGGAAAGAAGCACAAAAACAGACTTAGAACATCAAGGTTTTCAGATACTGGCATTATCAAATACTGGGTGTAAAACAACTTTGGTGTCGTCTGAATATATGAAAGATGAAGCAAAAAAAATGAGCAAGCAAAAAGAAACCATCAAAAAATATCAAGGTAAAATAAAGATTTTAGAAACAAAAAATATATAATCATTGAAATTTAAAACTCAATGACTGGGTTAAATAGAAGATTCAACACAGCCGAAAAAAGAATTCTTGAACTAGAAGCTAAATCTTAAGAAATTACCCAGAATAAAGCAGAGAAAAACATTGAACAGAAATAAAAAGATATAAAAGATAAAAAGAGAAGTTCTAACTTCCATTTAATCATAACCAGGAGACAATAGAGAAAATGGAAAAGGGATAGTATTGAAAGCATTAATAGCTGAGAAATTTTCAAAGCTGATTAATAAAATGAATCCACGGATACATAAAACACAACAAAGATAAAAAATAGAAAGCTGTACATAGTCACATTGTAGCAAAATTACAGAACACCGAGGGCAAGTAAACAAACTTAGAATAAGTCAAATCGTCTAAAAAACAGCAAATGAAAGACTAACAGATGTCCTAATAGAAAAATAAAAGCTATAGGACAATGCAACAGTATATTCACAATGCTGGGAGAAAATAACTGTCAACTAAGAACTACAAGAGTAAAACAAAGACATTTCTGAAACCAAAACTGAGGGAAGTTACCACCAAGAGATTCTTAGGAAAAAAAACAAAAAAACCTGAGGAGGAAAGGAAGGGAAGAGGAACAAGAAATGGTAAACATATAAAATTAAACAAATACCATCTCTAAACAATAACAATTCTCTAATTGGTATGGTGAAACATAACAGAACTGAAATACTGAAATACTGAAAAGAGCAGATAAGTACAGAAGGAGAGAGCCTTCATTAGGTGTCCTTTTATATTATTCTAAAAAGTGATTAGATTACCTTAAAAATTGACTCTAAAACTGTTAAGTGTGCACAGTGTACTTTCAAAGTAATCATCAGAAGAACAGAAATAGAATGTATAATTTCCAAATCAGCAGAGAAAAAAAATTGAATTAAAACAAACCAATAAAAATGTCAATCCAAAAGAACAAAAATTAGTAATGGAAATGTACCGTGTACACATAGTACCATAGTACCATGTACACATAGTTAAAAGAGAATTTCAGACTATACTTCAAAAATCAAAAACAAAAACACAGAAATAAGCTGTATTAGCCATACCAGAGTCAAAATTAGTCTACATTAAAACCACTAACTCTGTTCTCCAAAGGATACTAAAAAGAAAGATGTTCGATCTCACTATTAATCAGTGACAATGATACACTATTTTACACACACTAGTCTGGCAACAAAATACCAAATGTTGGAGGGAAGTGAGGCCACAGATGAACTGTGATAGATTCTCACAATAGAATTTTATTTAACCAGAAAAATTTACTACCATTACATGCAACAAGTAAAGCTTACAACATAACCAAGCAAAAAAATGCAAGTTGAAAAATACTACATGTGATATACCATTCTTTTCCAGCTTAAAAACAAGCAAAATATTGTTTGGATATACATACAAACACAGTAGCCACATGCCAGAATGGAAATTGACAATGACACTAAAAATACTGTTCAGTTCTGCTGGCTTTTATGTTCTAGATCAAACTCTTATCTCATCTCAGATTGGCACTCTGAGCAGCACTAGCCTAGACTGTTCAACCCCCGAGAAGAGGGCAGATCTGGTAACTACAACATAATCTGGGATAAAAGCCTCAATCAAAAGCAATTCCAAATTAAGGGAAAAGGTCTGGCCCCAAATGACATCCTACAACCTTTCCCACCTGGTTTATGTAACTTCAGATCCAGCAGCGCCCTTTTCTGTCACTTCCAGTGACTCAGGCTGATACTAATTCCTGTGTCCTTTGTTTTACCATTTCTAGCCCCCGGCCCATGTTGCTTGCCTCCTCCAAGGAGGGAGCTGGCCTCTTCAATTCTTTTTCCTACCTTCCCCAAACCCCACCGGCCTTTCCTTGGCTGATTTCACCCTGGGGCACCACGAAGGCCTGAAGTTCCCCATCCCATCAGAGCCTCACGCACTCTCAGAACAAAGCAGGAGCAATTACAAAGAACTTCAGATCCAGAAGTTCTTTGAGGATGGATGAAATGCTGATTTTTGACTCACCTATATTGCCTTTTATATACCCTCTGCTGTGCTCCAACTTCACTGTTTTTAAAACTCAGAAAGTCTACAACTCCTTCAGTCACTGCAGCTTTGCCTGGAATAATAAGGACAGGAAATTAGGAAGGAGGCAACCAAAAGGAACCAAAGGGTCCACTGGGGAAAGAAACTCCCTCACATAATCGATCAAGGAAAAACTTTATCTTTAATAGTAAAAAAGCCACCCAAATTAAGGAAAATCTCTACCTTAGTCTAAGCCATTTTAATCAAAACTATTAATAGTAACTTAACGTTTGCAGAAGAAATCATTATTATTTACAAAGAGCTTTCACATGCATTTTCTCATTGGAGCCTTAAGATCTTGAGAATAGACAAGTATTATTTTAAGATGCAGCAACTGAAGTTCCCAAAGGTTAGGGAACTTCCCCTGACCACTCAACCAGCAAGTGTCACAGAATAAATTAGAGCCCAGCTCTTACGATCCATTGTTCCAAACTCTTCTATGACACCAAATGGCATAATAATTTCAACTTGAACAGCAATATTATTATTTCTTCTTGCACTAGATATGCTTTCTTGGCCAACAGGTATAGAATGGCTTGGGCTGCTAAGTGACAGAGACACTACCATAGGATTAATGTATCTGCCACAGACAACCCAAACGGTAGAAAATCCATACCAAGAGTCATCAGAGACAACTGATCTTCTTCACATGCCTTCCTTTTCTCTTTAAGTCAGAGTTATAATTGATGAGCTTTTTAAAATTTATTATTTGGAAATAATTTCAAGCTCACAGAAGAGTTGTAGAATAATAATAGTACAAAGAATACTCATGTACTCTTTATCCAGATTCATCTACTATCAACATTTAACCCATTTACTTAATCATCCACTCCCTCTCTCCGCACACTCACTTGACGTTTTTTTTCTAAGCCATGTGGAGACAAGTTCCATATAACATAGCCCTTTAACTCTAAATACTTCAGAATTTATTTTCTAAGAATAAAGATAGTCTCTTACATAACCCCAACTTAGTTATCAACCTTAGTAAATTTAATATTGATATAATACTTTAATCTGCTGCTATATTCAGTTAACCCAATAATGCTCTTTATAGTATTTCTTTTTCTTCCAATTCAGGATTCAGTCCAGGGTCAGATATTGCATTTAACTGCCATTTCTCTTTAGCTCCCTTTAGCCTGAAACACACAGCTTTCCTTTGTCTTTTATGACATTAACACTTTAGAAGAAGACAGCCTCTCCCCGTTTTTATATTAATAGAACATTTCCATTTTGACTTGTCTGACATTTCCTCAGGTGATTCCTGATGATTCAGTTCAGATTATGCATTCTCAGCCAGAAAACTACTGAAGTGATGTTTTCTTCTCTGGATATCACATCTGAAGGCACACAAAGTCCATCTGCTCCAGCTTGGTGATGTTAATAATTTTGATCATTTAGTCAAGGTGTTGTCCAACTTCTTCAATGCAAAAATACTACTTTTCCCCTTGCAACTAATAAGTAATTTATGGAGAGACACTTTCAGATCATGCAAATAACTTGTCCGTCATCAAAATTTCCCCCAAGATTTGCATCCAGTGGTGACGCTGCCTGATCAAAACTTTATACTGTGATGGGTGCAACATCCTAACTATTCCAACTCCAGCATTCCCTCCATACTACCATTGATTACTCAGCATTCTACATTATTTGTTCATATATTTATCTACTTAGGATCAGCTGGGATACATGAAGTTCTACTTTTTAAATGATTTATAATATATACCTGTACTTAATTATTTCAATATTCAAAGTATCTCAGACTTGGCCAGGGAGAGTCCCTTCAAGCTGGCTCCCATCTCTTTGTGACATCCCCTTCCCCCCCCTTTTTTTTGTCCATACTTTTATTTTCTTAGTTTCTGACATTAAAAAAAAATTGTCCTGGGCTCATCTAGTACCTTTCCTGCCTCTGCCCTGGATGTCATCACTTCTCCAAAAAGCAGCTCCTCTCTGTGCAGGATGCTGCTAGAGACCAAGATGTGGCATAACACTGTTTTACAGTCACTATTTCTACTGATTACTTTTTATTTTGAATATAGGTCACATTTCCCTGCTTCTTTTCTATTATAAGGCAGACAATTAGAGGCTGTTCAGTTTTGTTCTGGTGGCAGCTAAATTACTGGTGGATACTCCTGATCCTGTCAGGCCTGGCTTTATACTTGGTTAGGACAAGTCTATTTCAGTTATGTCCTTAGTCCTAGCTCATCGCCCTTACCCATCCTGGGGCGGGGGTCTCAACAGAATGGCTAAGGTGTTCAGCAAGGTCTTTCCACCCAGGCTGGGCGAGACCCCAACCTTTCTAAGTAATGCATGGCTCCTGGCATTGCCACCCTGTTCTTGGCCTGGTAGCAGCTATTCTTTGCTAGGTCTCAAGCTGGGGAGGTCTCAGCCCTTGTGAAGCTCCCTCCTCTCCAGCATCCTGCCATACAAATTCTACCCTTTTCAGCAGCGTTGAACCCCAATATCTGCCTTCTCAGTGCTAAGAGACCACCATGCTCTGCTAGGGCTCACCTCCCTGTACATGCAAGGAAAGTGCTCAAGTAGAAAACCAGGGCAATTGTGGGTACCCGTCATGTGATTCTCTTTTCCCAAGAATCACAGCCCTGGCTGCCTGTTGTCTACTGCCTCATAGATGGTTGTCCCATTTTCTAGTTGTCTACCACAGGAGAGCAAGACCAGCAACCGCTACCTCTCTTTTTCTCTTTAGGCCTCCATCACTAAATAATGACTGAGGAACACAGGGCTGCCATTCTGGGAAGGGTTAAGAATCACACACTATCAACATATAATAAATGCTCCTTATTTAAACATTTCAAAGAAACTCACTTTCTAACAATCTGTTTCTTAGAAATGCATGTGCTTACTTTTACTGCAGCACTGTGGCAAGAGAAATGCTCTCTAGCAGTGAGGCCATTCCAAATAAAATGACAGAGAAATGTCTCTATTCCTTCCAGAAAGCTGATACTGACTTCAGATAGCCAGCTGGCTATCACCCTCACATACATTTGCATTTATTTCCATCCCTCTTCCTCCAAATGGTATACACAGTGCTAGAGTCTATCCAAAGCAATGAAAGTTAGTTGAGTTGCTGTTCTTCACTTTTCTTGTTTATGTGTATGCACTTAGGGGTGGGGAGAAGATTCCTTTTCACATAAATCATGTTCTGGTGTATTTCCATTTCCACTTCTAACCACTTTTGAGAAAATAATCAGAAAACAATAGTCACAAAGAAAACTTATAACCCCAGTTACAAAGCTAATCAAAAGAAACTGGCAAGTAAGAATAGTATTTTATCACATACTGGAGAAAAGAGGATTTTGCAATCACAGGAAAATGAAGAACAGGTCTTTTCCCACTCAGACCAGTAGATTTGTGCCCACCACATGTATACACATGTGCGATGTTCCAAACAGTGTGCCAGGCTGAAATGTGGGACAGCCTCTTGCTACTTGTTGAGCAGATTTTCTCCGTATTAGAAATTTCGGCCCATCTAATTCATTTTGTCAAAGGAATCAATGCATGACAAGTTACAGCTTTCTTTGGTTTTTACTTCAGGTCCCCTGAAGCTTAAATGCAAGCACCTGACGTAAATACAGGGCTTATTTGTCCCTTTGCCCCACTCGCTGTCCAGGAATTCCCCATCCTCTCACGCCTCAGCAAAGTCTTCTCACAGGTCTCGGTGTCTCCTGTGGACCCTGCTGAATCCTGTTTCCTCAAGTCCGCATGTGTCCAGCGCCCTAATTAAGTATAAATTCTTCTGTAGGTCCTCATTTCCCAGGAATTCAGCCAGAGCCCCTGGGCTTGATAAAACAAGGACCTCATGATTGCTCCCTGCCCCCTTTTCCATTTCATCTCCTGACACTTTATGCCTCACTACTAGTAACACTCATAGCCATTTCCCCTGCGGGAAACACCCTTTCTTCCCTTGACTAACTCACTGGGGCTTGACAACCTCTGGGAAATTTTTCATGACCACCATTCAAAGATGCGTTAGTGTCCCACCCCATGCTCACTTTTTCAATAACTAACTTTACTGAGTGCTCTCCATGAGCTAGACACAGATGGGCACTTAACATGCATTATGTCATTTAGTGGTGCCACTAATTCTGTAAAGTAGGTGCTGTTATCATCAGCCCACTTTACAGAGGAGCAAACATGTGGAGAGGCTGCACAGTATCCTGACGCCACACAGCTGGGGGTGGTCAAGCCAAACGGCTTATAGGCTTTTCATTATAAACAACACAAAAGATATTTCGTTGAAAAATCAACAGCATAACATGTGTTTCCAGGGAAAAGGCCCAGAATGTCAATGGTGACCCCATGACAACACTAAAAAGGGTAAGAATAAGATGTAACTCATCAGAACCCTTCAGAAGAGGGTGCCATAGAAAGACCCATAAATTAACATCAACTATAATGCCCATAATAAAGACCAAGACAGGGTAACCAGCAATTTCTGAGAGTCAGTAATATACACATGGTTCAGGCAAAATAATGTTTAGAAGTAGTGGGGGAAATGAGGAAGGATGCTCTTACTACGGACGAAAAAAAAGGTATTAAATCAAAGATTAAGAAGAGCTTTCAGAGGGAAGAGTCCTGAATATTTATAAAATTAAATCAATTCCATTCAAGAAGTTCTTATATTGTGTAACCAATAGGATCCTCTATTAGGGGTGACATGTTGGCTCCTACACAAATTGAATAAGTGAGGATTAGTAAATGGGCAATCATCTGCTGTGTCCCATCTGGGCCGTGTATGTCACTGATCCAGTATGCCCATTTCTGCTCCAGGCTGTGGAGCTGGGGAGCTAGAGGAAGTGTGAGCAGGAATGTTGATGACCAGCTGGCTCACAAATGCCACCCTGACAGTCTCATGAAGAGTCAGAGAGGATCAATATTTCAGTATAGGCACCTCACACAGGTTACAGACCTTGACTGTGAGGATGACAACCTCATTTCATAATACACATCAACCAAGGTCAGAGTGATCAATGCTGGGCTCTACACTTTTTGGGGAAAATTGAAAAAAAAAAAAAA